CGAATGAAACAATATTTTCAAGCTTTCAAGAGGTCTCTAACAAACAAACCTAGCAAAATAGACCCCTTCAGTAAACTCCAACCGGATTTCGTTTTCCTCAAAGTAACGGCTTACTGGGAATAACAAAACGCACTCTCAGCGATATGGCTGTTTGCATTGTCTGAAGCAAGTTTGGAAGTTTATATTTCTTGTTTCCGTTACCTACAGAAAAAAAATGTTTAGTTTTAAAGATTTTACTTAAAAATGGAGCACCGCCCGGCTCTCGCCGAGGCGGGAGTCATGATGAAAAAGGAGGCAATTTAAACAATCCTTCGTTTGCTTTTGTTGCGAAATCACGATCTTTATGTCAAGACTCTTTAATTCATGCGTCTATCAATGTTAAGCCCGAGGAGGGGGGACCCGAACTGGGTAAAATCAGATCGAATAGCTCCACCTTAGTGTAGCGCCGTAGCCTGATGATGCGCTGCAGGCTTCAAGAGAGGCACAATTTCTCGCTGTGAATGGGTAGAGAATACTATAATCCTAACGCTTCGTTGTGTGACGAAAAGTGAGGTATTTCAAATCCACGCAAATCTCCGGAAAGTAAGGCATTCCGTCAATTTTTATTGAGAGCGAGTATTTAGAAGTAGTTGTTTTATTCGTTGAAAACAAGTGCTTACCTTCAAAAACCGTGTTCTTATTCAAGAGAGCTGTTTCAAGATGGCTGCACAGACGAGCACATGTAATGATGAGATTTGATTCCATTCCACCTAGCAAAAAAATCAAACGACCTCATCCTGGGGCCCAGACTCTCAGTAAATTTCCCGAGGGTGGCGAAGGCAATCGAAGTCAAATGCCCCACATATGCCCTGAGTACCAAGCCACCTCCATCGGACTTAACATTGGTAGACGCATTAATTACCGTCGGGGCCGCTGTAATAAGGGAAAAGTTTTTTCAGTGAATAACAAATAACCTGGAGCTGATATTTTGCGATCTCACGATCTTGAATTTTAAATTAGCTTAGGGTACCTCTCATATTCCATTCAGGTAACACAGTAAGTTTACTAATCACATTCCTGTTAAGAAGGAGATAATACAGACAGCGAGGGGGAAATATTAATAGAAATGTTCAGTGCGGTTCGTAACAATAGTTTTAATGTGCACTCTATACATTTCACAGTTCCTCGTAGTATACAAACCAATGGCGCTGAACAAACATGATGAAAAAGTTCAATTTTGAAATGATCTTTTTCAAAAAAGTAAGTTCAGCCCAGGTAAATTGATTTTCAATGCAATCCATTCATTTCAAGTTGAGAAGTAAACAAGTAAATTTCAGCTCCAATTCTTTACGAGGCTATGAATTGGACATCAAAAGTCAGTCAGGTGCTCAGGTCACTTGACTAATCTTTTACAGTGCTGCGCGCCTTCCTGCAGAAACCTAGGAAAGTTTCTTGAGGGCAATTTCTGATGGCTTTCAAATGGCCAATCAAACTGAGACAACATGTCGCTGGTTTCAAACGTTTTTCACGTTGAAACTTTTGAAATTCCCTCGCGACCGAATGATAAATTTGACAAATTAACAACTCATTTTACTCCGCCCTCAGCAGCCAGCAAAAACTTGTCTGAAAGTTGTCAAAATGATGTCGAAATAAATCAAAAACTTCCTCAAGTGGCAAAAGTGCGATGGGCAGCACTGTAAATACACCCATTTTTCCAAAATGACAATTAAGAGTGAACATTGCCTAATTGTCCAGAATAGTAAATAATTGCCAATGGAGCGTTTTCACTCACGAGGCCTGCAACAATGCAAATTTATTGGAAAAAAAGAAAGAACTCCATAGGATTGGTATGATACGTGCTTCAATATGGCCACCGCTTCATTGTTTTGGAAAACCTATATGGCTGCCGTGACGTCGTGTGAAAACGCTCTATAAATATTTGCACAGAAGGCCGATATTAACATCAATTTTTACTGCAGTCATGTAACATGTGACCACGTTACAGTCACATGAACAATCAACGCGCACACAGATCTACGATCATCTACTCAAAGTTTTTGGCGTCGTTAAAATTGCTTCTTTAATACGAAAAAAATATCAATTTTCTTGGACATTACCTGACTGTTTTAATTTTGCCTCATTTCTCACAAGCAACCTACTATCAGGTATCATGTTCTCAACTCTAATCTCCCAACGTAACTGTCTCACAGACTATAACTCCTACCTGTTTTGTTTTGTTTTGTTTTGTTGGGAACGTAAGGACGTGCTCACTTTGTTAACTTGCCGTATTTTCAATTACCGAGGAACGTACCTTTTGCAGATTGATACTGATGTAACCGAGTATGTTTTGACGGTTTTGAATTGCTTCTAATATCTTTATTCCTTAAATCGTCTCAAGTAAGAGAACCTCTCATTCGCATGAGCTGCAAAATTGGGTGACTTTTTCAATCTTAATCGTGGTTCGAGATGAAGAGAAGAAGCGGAAAAGAAGTTGTTGTTTAGTAACATTATAAAATTTGATACAATCGATGTGTAAATGGTTTCAGAAGTTTAAAGAACTCAGTTGTATGGAAATAAAATTACTGGATAACAAGCTTTGTCATCCAGCATACAGGTCCGTGAAAATATTTACAGCTTGCCACAAAATTTCGCGCCTTGCATATTATAATAACCTGACCGAGAAAAAGTGCACATTTGGAAAACAAAATGTTCCATCGATGAATTCGAGAAGGAATCTGAGAAAGGTACATTTAACATTTTTTACCTAGAGCTTATTAGGAATCCTGGATCTACCGTTGAGTTTGTGAGATTTTCTTTGGCAGCTTTTTTTTATGTATTTTGAAACAGAATAACACATTCAAAATACAAAATGAAAATCGTTGGCAAGTTTCCTGCTATACTATCATGAAAATTGTCAGTGAAAATAATCGTAGTTTGAATACTGTTGTTGTTTATACTGACGTCATTTTGATAGACAGAGTGAAATATAATGAAATGTATGAAGTCAGCATGTTTACTCGCTCATTTAGCAATACCCTGTAGCATGAATTTTTTGCAGGTTTTAACTTTTGCGATTTTTAACGGGTTTTTCCACGATCCGTTAAAAAAAAGACCCGTAAATAAAAGTTCCCGCAAAAATTAACTCCATTGGCAAAATTATACGTACAAACATCATATGAATAGTCTTGTTGACAAAATACAGGTGTGGAAAACATCTTGAAGGATAATGCATCATGTGGTACCGTAATTATTGCTTATCCACTGTCGGAGCAATCAACAACACAGTTACAAGACCATGTAATTGTAACAGAGTGATGCTGACTATCGTGTTTTGCATCCCTACATATTGTTTGACTCAGTTGTCGATTGCATGTACTTTAATTTAAAAGACGAAAACTTTGTAATTCCAATTATACGGGACTTAATAACCAGCAAGAAAAAAACACAGTCTTTTACAATCACAAAAATTAGTTCCCGCGCTGCAAAAAAAATCGATCCGCAAAATTAAACTGACATACTTGTTTTGTGCCACCGTGTACTATCTTTTCAGATACACTAGTAGTTTCTTATAATACAAAACATGCAGTTGGAAAATATTCATAAAAACCACGCTTGAGAACAAATTAAGGAAAATAGATTATTTACTTCATGCAAATTAAGTCGGTTTTTTTGTCAAAAAAAAAATTAGAGTATTGTCCTTTTCCCCTGCAAAAAATATTAATTTTTGCTCACAGAAACACTCAAAGTAGTCCATTAGTATCCCTTTTTAAATATCACACTGATTGTTATTTTGTTCCAAATTAATTTGTAAGCAGCTAAGCCATCCTTTCTTTATTTTGTACTCATATTAAAAATAAAATGTACATAACAAGGCCAGATATAATCTCGAAAACCTACCATTTCATTTTGCTTCCATCTGAATATATGATTGCATGTATCATAGAAGGGAAAAGGCAAAAATTTTTCAGCACTGTGTTGTGTTTTCCTCATATGACCTGCGCAAATTAATATTATTATTGAAAACCCTGGGGACGAAAAAGCTAGGGCGTTATACCTGGTTTGTTTATTACACTCTGGATATTCCTGACTGAAGTACATGGTTTCTCTTTTTTTTCGTTGCAGTTCTAAATGGAAAAAGTAGTTCTAAATAGAACTGATCACTAATGACAATAAATTCTACATCTCTAACTCGACCATCCACTGATAAGATAGGCGTGAGTTATAACTGTGAGAAGAATAATTATATTGACTTACATCACAGACGCTAAATAATTAATTATAAAAGTCTGTGTTAGTGGGCGGTACTTATAGGTTAACTTAAGAAGCAGCATTTGCTTCAAGTTACAAGGTAACGTCAGAGTGGAAGCAGATTAGAACCTCCTGCCTTACTGATTGCAGATGGTATAAGACATTGTTAGAGGCAATTTGAATGTTAGCAGGTACATTTTGTCTTCTGTTTCTACCCAAAGTTGATTTATAAAAGCCGTTCTATTTGTCTAAATGACACGTCTTGTACGTTTTTCCTTAGGACATTTTCGCGATGTTTTTAAGCATTTATATTCCATTTCTCCTGCTGTTTATGAGGTCGTGCCTTCTTACCCCTGCGCCACAGTACTCGCAAAACTGTCCGAGCGTGTTCGAAAGTTATGAAGGTGAGTATAAATTATATATATATTCCATATTTCAGAATCAGCAAGGTTTCAGGTTTACTGGTATATAATCGTGTAATAATAGTATCCAAGCGTTTTATACTTCGAGGATACCGTGAGGCACTAAACTTTTGCGGGTTCAAATTTTTGCGATATTTGCGTTTTTTCCACGATCCGCAGAAAAAAAGGTCCCGAAAAAAAAATATTCTCGCAAAAATTTCTTAGCAAACTTCACTCTACTGGTGAAATTATAGATAAAAACACCACAAGTAGAATCTTGTTGCTGCCATCAGCCACACAAAAGGACGATGTACTCGTGATAGAGCAGTGACACTGATTACTGGTGTGTATTACATCACAAAATGTTGTTTCACTCATCAATTGCACGCAATTTAGTGCCACACGGTATCCGGTTCGCGCAAAATACATAAATGCCTAAAATTTTAAAATTTGAAATATTCTGAAGAAATGTCCATAAGATAAGATTCTGTCAAATGGTTTGACTTTATTTGGTTTAACTGGAAGTTTGCATGGGTCTTGAAAATTAAAAGGTTTTGGTTAACATATTTTGCCTTTGGCTTCGAATTAATTTGAAAGCGTCTCAGATCGAAATAAGTAATTGCACGACGGGGTGACTCCTTTTTAAAATTACTGGGAAAATATGATCCTTATGTTTGAAAAATGTTTTTAGTTTATCTGCTTTCTGCTGTTCTAAAGTTTTCGTGGCTTCCGTTCACATTCATCAGAGCGCTGTTCTTGTCGTCTTTTACTTTATTTGCAATTCAAGACACGTGACCACGGGGAGCACATTCTCTCTCGTCAGCAGCAGAGCTGTCCAAATTCCATGAAAACCTTATTTCGTCCTTTCTTTTTAATTTCTAAAACTTGTACAGTTGAGACGTTAAATGAAAGCAGTTTACAGTTTCTTTTTTTATCGAGTAACTGCACACAGGTGACAATGGCTACAGGTGACACAACTACAGGTGACACAACTGATGCTTCATTAGCCGCAGCTTTTAATTAATCGCGGTACCTTCTCGTAGATTATGCCTTATTTGGTCACACATTTGACACAATTGAAGTTTACGACGATTCGGAGTGTGCCACAAGATGCATGACAAATGGCACCTGCCAATCGTACAATATTCAGACCCAAGGGAACAGTGCCAAACAGCAGTGCGAGCTTAACAACAATTCGCGAACCTCGGAACCCCAAGATTTCAAAGGGAAGCCTGGATTCACTTACTATGGCTTAGTTGAGGTACGCGTACTTAGAAGAGTCTCTGTACGATTAAGTAATTCACCATCTCCAAAGTCAGGGGAAGGGAGGCAGCGGAGGCAGTGCGTCGTTTTATCCTTACCCTCAGATTTCATATAGTCCTAGTAATCCTTATGTGCTCACAAATGGCAACGCGGCCTATGCTAGTCAGATAGCGACTCAGCAACACTTCGTTCATACTTTCGGTTATTAATACTAATTACATCTTGAGTTAAACTTGTACCACAGTTCCTGTGAAGTAAGACGGGAATTCCTGTAATTGAAAGAATTGAAATGGAACGTGTTTGTTATTAATTGCTGCTTTTTTTTTTGCGTGTTTGTTTGTTTGTTTGTCTGTTTGTTTCTTACTCTCTGCTTTTTAGTATGTGCAGCATTTTTTATCAGTCACAGTAGAACACCATCAATCCAGGTGTCTCATAGAAGGTCACCAGCAGTCCAAACCGGCTCTCAGTTTTCGTCTACAAGAAAAAAAAGAGTCTGAAGCTACGTATCTACAATCTACGGCTTTGCGCGAGTCTGTTCAAAACCTGAGAGCCAACTAAAAGTATAAAGTTAGTTTACTGATTAGGAAAAATGGTCACAGAGCGAGTTTATAGAAGAAAAGCCAAAGATGCATAGCATTTATTTGACATGTGTGTATTTTTTCCATGCCTAAGTTATAACATAATTCTTTGGTTTCTTCATTCTTAGGTTTCTTGTGTGCAAAATACTTGTAGTGCTAAGGAAGACTGTCAATGTCATCCGGGTTACAAAGGAAAGAGCTGTCAGATTCGTAAGTAGGATTGGCTCAGCAAAAAATTAATCATGGATTCATAAACACCACACTTTCCACAATCGCAACCACAAATGTTCAGCTACTTGGACAAAGAGATTAGTGGGATACGGTATTTTGAGTTATTTTGGCCTCATACAAAATTACCTTTAAATCGAAGGAAATCTGAGAATAACAGTTTACTTAGATAGAGAACCCTAAAGAAATGATAATAAACCATAAAGGAGCAAGGATGATTAAAGATAGAGAAGATTGACACGAATTACAAAAGAAAAACTTGAAAAATTCAAGCTAAACTCTTCAAGATTCGCAAACCGTGACGTAGTTCCTTTAAAAAGCCTAATGACAGAATTATCACAAGCAACTTCTCTCTTTACCCTTGTTTACCCGTGACACCTGGGTTTTTTTGAGGCTACAACATTTTTATTTAAAAAATGTTTTCTGTTGGTGGCAATGTATAAATGCGTGACACAATCAAAATAAATAGCAGCCAAACAGAAACAGAGACCAACGACAAGTGATGCGGATCAAGCTTCGTGCCTTTTTACAATGAAAATGAGCTGGTTTTGAAGACACCATTCATCAACCGCTGATTAACTGACCGTTGTCAAGAGGTTAATTTGGCTGTTGGGACGTTCCTTATATTAGTGGCCGTTGCTGTTGTGGAGAGGTGGCCGTTAGTGGAGGCTCGACTGTAAACCTAAGGAAAAAACGAAACAATAAAAACGCTCACGATTAAGATTTCCGTTGTTTAAAGTAAACTTGATGAAAAATTAACATGTTTTAGAAATACATTTTCGTATTCAGATCATATTTCATGCATGCTCGTCAATAAACTGAATCAGTCAATATATTTGTTATATTTTTAGTGATAGATATTTGCTGTTATCATTGGCTTTCGGTTCTCTGAGCCTTTCTACAAGGCGCGGCGAAAAGATTCTGCTATGAGTAGCTACGATCGCTACGCTAGTACTAAATTTCAAGATTTCTGAAAGCCCACAAAGTTCTCTTCAATCCTTCCTTTATTTTTTGTTTTCGATCATGTCAAAACATATCTGTTGCTTTACAATATTTCCAGAGAGACTTGGATATTTTCCCTCAAGTCCTGGACTTTCTTGTAAGCAAATCCTGGACTCTGGAGACTCGGGAGGAGATGGAGAATATTGGATCGACCCAGAGAACAGTGGAAACCCTTTACGAGTTTACTGTGACATGACTACTGACGGAGGTGATTATCATCATTATGAAGAGAAGCAATCAAGGGACATATCTGAAAACGTTAGCACTTCCCTGCAAATTCAACCAATAGTTCCGATAGTTTCGCCCTTGCACAATGGTTTGAATAAGTTGTTTTAAAATTCTAAGGGACAGATTATGCATGACAATACAGGCAAGAGACTGAAACTGAGAGATATGATGTTAAGGTAAAGCGGGTCTGGTATGGTGGGGACACTAAGTGACTCTTGTTAAGATATTGTCTGAAAATCTTTCGTTTTAGACCTGAACAACATTATGTTTTGTATTTACATTGCGATTTTCACGACTGCCATTTGATTTTTTTCCGTTTTCACTCAATCCTAGGTGGCTGGCTTCTTATTGCCAACTTTTTGATCAACAGTCCTGCTAATCCCCCTGTATGGACCGCTGACACATCATACCGCGCGATCAGAAACTACCACAACAACAGAATGGGCATCACAACAAACGCCATGAATGAGCTGAGAACACACTTGTCTTTCACTCAACTTAGATTCTACTGTAGTAAACAACAGGGACGTACGTTCCATGTGACCACGGTCGCTAACAGTCCTGGTAAAGCTGCAGTTCAGTATTTCAGCGGTCAGACGGATACACTCCCCTACTCGTGCAACTCGTTTGTTAGAATGAAAGATGACAGTTCTTACCTTGCCAAACAGTGCAGCCAGTGGGGAAATGATGGAATATCGCAATTTGTCGGGAAATGGGGGCACATTGACAAAAGAGGTGCAACACGTATGTACGATCACACCGCATTTGTTGCTAATCTTTATCACTGGAAGATCACACACGGAGTTTGGCTATGTGATGACAAAACCGGCAGCGGCTATTTGCCTTTGTCATCTGGAGATTCTTGGAAAATCTACTTGCGTTAAATAACGTCTTAAATGATTCTACCTGTAAAATAATTGCCTGCTAACATAAAGCAACATGCCTGCGTTAACCGAACCAAGTTTGTGACAAGATATTCGAGTAAAAGTAACAACTAATGAACTTGAAACTCTCAACATTTTATCAGTGGCAAATCTTTATTTGAAAGGGAGCATTTACAAAGCTTGATATACACATCTGACAATATGTAAGAAATACAGTTAAACCTCTATATAACGAGCACCCTGGGCAAAATAAACTGGTGAACAGAGTTGGCCGTTGTAGGAAAGTTTCAATATGTTTCCCTTCATAAAGAACCGGCTGTTAATTGAGATTCCGCCTGCATTACTTAGTTTATTGACATATTCACTCTCGGTCTATGCTTCTTACGTCTCCTTGACTATCATTAATGTCGGGGGAACCAGCAGCTGTGGGTATTGCGGGAAAACAAAGCTCGCTGTTGGGCCAGTCAAAAATATTTAGTGCAAGTTAGGTTTTCAGACCCAGACCTATTTCCAGACTAGGTATGGTTCTCTTTGTTATTTTTAATTTCTCTCTCTGTTTTTTTTGTTCACCTGTAAGATAGCTGGTATGGTTCACAAAATGAATAAACAATGTGAACAAAAGTCTAATGCTGAGCTTTCGGAAGAAGTCGTCCCTGGCGCAACTGAAGGAAGAAAATCTCCTTTACTCCCATATCATACCTTATTTACAGGTCATGGTAAATTGTCTGTGTATTGAATTGTTACCCAAACCTTTACATTTTACAAAGACCAAGAACGAAGTTCACGCCCAAGAACATTTTAGTTAATTTATTAGCGCTGTCCTATAATTATTAGCTTTGTTTGACATGTACTTAAATGCTTTCCAAGTCTTTTTTTATTTCTTTATTTTCCCCACTTAATAATGTAATTGATCTGTTTCCTCACCGAAAAGCATTACGGAAGAGAAAAAAACATAATAAAGTGTATTATCGTTCGTCTCACGATGTAGTCACTTGAGATGTAGATCGCGACGTTTCGACTGCTTACTGCTAGTCTTCTTCGGGCGATAAGGTCGACTGATTGCACGGTATCATTTATATCACAAAGGTCGGCTGAGATTGGTGCATTTCGATCCACCTATTGTTCCATCGTTCTGGCGAGTAGCTGTTCCCTCAGTGGTCCGCTGTTGTACCCTTCTCCTGTTGTTGTGTTTTTTGATCGTGGGCATCCATGCTTCAGGAATTTCAATTCCACTATCCCTGCTGATGTTATTAGGGTGAAGTCTTATGTGAATAATATATTCATATAAGATAATATATTCACATAATATATTCGGAACAATGGAACAATAGGATCGAAATGCACCAATCACAGCCGACCTTTGTGATATAAATGATACCGTGCAATCAGTCGACCTTATCGCCTGAAGAAGACTAGCAGTAAGCAGTCGAAACGTCGCGATCTAAATCTCAAGCGACTACATTGTGAGACGAACGATAATACACTTTATTATTGCATCTACCACGATGAATAACAACAACCTTTTCCTCGACAAAAAAAAAACATTTCCTCAGGTTTGAATTTGCACCACAAAGTACCATTTTGTCAACCTTTCTCTATCGTTCATCAACTGGAAAAGAACACAATTAAACTTGTAATGATTTTGCAGGTATGGTAAAATTAACTCGTAGCAAGCAACCCTTGAGTAAAGCAAAATAAAATTCAGGATTATGCACCCTTGTTCTTCGGAAGCCATTGTTATTGATAGCTACTTGACCCAGACTGTGAGGCGAGGAGACTGTTTGAATGCCATTTGATTGGGATAGTCTCCTTAACTGAGCGACACACGGTCAAGACAACAAACGTTGTTATCTTAGGGGTGTCACAGGACTGACTGATAATGTTTTACCCAGTATAATTCTTTAAACAAATAAAATTTAAGGAAGGGGAAATGAGTAATTACGTCAGGAAAGAAACTGTCATTTGCTGATTTGCTGTATCCATAGTTGCAGTAAGGTGACACTTTGAGATAACTTAGAACTTCATCATCACTTTAAACAAAAATGAATACTTTTCGAGATCAATCTTTCCAGAAAGTAGGATGACCATCACTTTAATGATGGACAAAATTTATTTGATACCTGAACAGGGCATAACTGAACATTAGCTTAACAGCTGTACTTGGTGCCTGGATGAATCACAAATCATGAGCTAACCCAACCAAAACCTTGTTTATAAAGTTTCTTGTTTGTTTGTTTGTTTGATTGTTTGTTTATTATCTATCAGCAGTGAAAGTTTGCACCAAACCTTGGGACTCCAACGTTTATCTGGTACCTAACAATTTGGTGTGAGATGTCACTTTGTCAAGTCTCATCAGAGGCTCACTTTTCCCTCTTTTAAGAGGAAAAAGTTATGTACCAAACAGGAGACGTGATACTAAAATAAATCGCGTTTCATTCTTCTCCTCGAGTCCCATACACACTCCCTGATTAATTCGAACTGAGAACAGTGCTTTTAACATCAAAGATCTAATAGATCGTTTTCACTGTACTGTCACACAACAAAAAAATAAATCGGAAACTATTCAATGGTTAAGGTCTAGAAATTGGATTGTTATAGTAGATAAGTAAAGAGGACACTTCTCTAAGTTTTAGGTCTCTGTGCTTTCGTCGAAATGTTTTGCGCAATTTTACAGAGCCCAGTATGGAGCCGCTATGTTGGTGTACATCGGTGGTACACCAATATGGCGGCCGAATAATAGTGTAAACATCTGGAACTTACGTACTTTGGCTATCTAGTAGACTGATTATCTGGACTGAACCAAAAAACATTTACAAAAGCACCCTTCCTAATACTTTGACTCCTAAAAAGGCTAAAAATCAGGAGATAAGGGTATATTTTTTGTTAAATGCGATCGAAGATTCATGTCACTCTCCGCCATAACTCTGAAATTCAAAATGCGCTGGTTTCCAAACGAAGCACGCTATTGAGCTGAAAAGTTGTAATCAGTTATAAATTTAGATCCCCTAATTCCTGATGAGGATAAAAGCTTTCGTGGCTCTTTAGCTTTGGATTTTGGAATTTGATGACGCCACGTGAAAACGTCTGCTAAACTAAATAAACCTGTGATAAAATAATAATAATGCCTTAGTTTACCCCATTACTATTCTATTAAATCATGTACTTGCAAGCACCTGACAAAATCTGTAACGAGCGATGGGTCCGTATCGGAGAAATAATGTTCTCAGTTCTTTTTTCTCGTTAAGTGATTAACGGACATAAATTTTCCAGAAGTCTCCAGTTGATACATAACGGCCAGGGTAGTCTTCGTCATCACAGTCCCATCTGTTCCAAGCAGGATTAGTGGCCCAATGATACTTAAACCCAATGAATGCTGCAAATTCATACAACTCTCGTTGTCCTTCATGTCCCCATTTGCCAACATTATAGGCACCACCATCTTTTCCCCAATTGGCACAATCCCCTGCGAGCAGTGAGTTGTCTCCATCAAGTCTTACAAATGATCCACAGGAGGAGGGCATGGCATCCGTCTGACGACTGAAGAACTGGACTACAGCTTCACCCGCACTGTTAGCGACTGTCGTCACATGGAACGTACGTACAAGCTGTTTATTGCAGTGGAATCTCAGCTGGGTGAAGGACAAGTGTGTTCTCAGCTCATTCAAGGCGATAGTCGCTAAGACCATGTTGTTGTTCTTATGATGGTTGATACCGCGGTATGATGTCTCAATACTCAAGGTAGTGGGAGGAGATGAGCTGTCAATCACAATGTTGTAGATCAAAAGCCAGCCTCCTAAAAATGAACAAAGCCAGGAAAATATTATATATACATGGTCTTCAAGTTCCTCAACTTGTCATAGAGTGCAGTATATCTCATCGCACAAGTCGGTGTCTGAGTATTTCTAATTTTAAGCCAATCGTAAAGTGTAAATGATGCAAAACCAATTACTTTTCGACACTCAAATGAAAACCTCTCTAACTGTAGTAATTGTAGTTGTTCCCCCATCAAATGAGGCGGTGCAATAAAAATTCAGGCACCGCCTCTTACTAAAACAGAAAATCGTTCAAGGTACCGTACGCACTAGGTTGCAAGATTTGTTTGGGTCTGCCAAAAATGTCGACAAATTTTGTCTCCACCAAATTTTGAATTTGGTAATCGCGTACGCACTTGAAAACATCAAAATATTTGATAACCACAAGTGTCAATAGCATTGAATGTATAGACTCTAAAAAGCAAAATCAAATTTACTTGATTGACATTTTCAATCAGATTAACGCCTGCAAATTGTAAAATCTGACAGTTTTGACGCTTAACAAAAATTTTTCCTGCTCCGAGGCAGGACGACGGCGCCTTTGAAGTTTGGTACGGTTTGACAAAATTTTTGGAGGAACAAAAACACTGTGCAAACGTGTAGAACGGAACTGATGACAAATACTTTTGCAAAATAAACAAAAATTCGCCAAGTGCGTCCGGGCCCTAACTTACCATCGTCAGTGGTCATGTCACAGTACACTAATAAAGAATTTGTATTGTTCTCGGGGTCGATCCAGTACTCCCCGTCTCCTTTGGCATCTCCAGAGTCCCGGATGTCTTTGCATGAATGACCTGGCTGATGTGAAAACCAACCTCGTCTGACTGAAATTGAAAATCTACGCTTAACGTTACGTGTTAATCTCCGTCCCTTAGGTTTCACCTGTCTATTTGAACAGTATGTTTGTTGCTGTTTACAAAATAAGACTAACAACAGCTGGGATGGTCATTCCAGTGAGGGCTGTTCAAATAGTGAGGGCTGCCCGTGAATTGCAAGTTATACTAGACGATAAACCCTTGAAACAATCTGAACATTTCAAGTATTTGGGACTGCGCATTGATAATCGCCTAAGCTGGAATTTTCATATTGCTCAAATATCTTTTAAGATTTATCCTAAACTTAAAATACTTAATAGGATTTCATCCTACTGAAGTAGAAATATATTTTATTAAGAATGTATAAACAGACTAATCTTCCTATATTTGATGTGGGTGTATGGTTTGGGGAGATTGCGGTAAGCAGAATGTTCAGCGTTTAGTACGCCTCCAGAATCAAGCAATGCGTATTATTTTGTCAGCTTATCGTAAATCCTGTACTCAGGACATGTGCTGTAAGCTAGGTCTTTTATCATTACCTTCAATTCGCTTACAAAATTGTTAACAACATATATTGTCCGGCCAGGTCAGTTAAATAGTTATTTAGTTAAGCGATCAGAGTCACATGATAAAAGATCTTTAAGGGATACCACTTAATTAGATTTAGGGGGAATGTCTTCAGCAATGGGCGGACAGTCTTCGTTTAAGTATGCTGCTGCGAAGGACTGGAATGATCTTCATAGCTAGGTTCAGCTAATCGGGTTTTTTTTATCAGGATAAATAAAGATTTTATTATTATTACTATAATTATAATTATTATTACTATTATTGTTGTTGTTGTTGTTGTTGTTGTTGTTGTTGTTGTCATAATTATTATTTTTATAAAATAATAGTCCAACAGGTTTAGTATACAGAATAATATACAGAAGATAACTTGTTACAAAGAATGGGATCTTTCAAATTGTTTAACTTGCCATGAAATTGCACATGTTAAAGCAAATTAAGCAGTCTCGAAGCTTTTCTAACGTTCTAGCAATCAATTTGTACGTACTGCTTGCTTTTTGGTCGACGTGGTCAAGTGACTGGTTTAATTAAGGCAAAGAGGGCGTCTTATTTTTGAGATGCATGACAGGTGACGCCTTCCTGTCGAATGAATGAATGAATGAATGAATGAATGAATTTTGGTGTTGTTGTTGTTGTTGTTGTTGTTGTTGAGGCATTTTTTGTTCGAGGTCATTTTCTTTAGGATCATTACAATCGCTTTCTCTCACGGTGGCCATCATGACGGTCGTAGGAATCACAGGGATTGTGGAAATCATATGGAAACAAGCCTTTTCGCTGCCTCTTTCATGCTTCGTACTTCTCCTGCTGGTGCATATTTCCTGTGTATTTTCAGGGTTGGCTTTAAAGTCCTGAACTTTACTACTTAAGATTACCTTTATACATATATAGTTATGTTTCAATACTACACTCACGGGTTTGGCATCGTTCTCCTTTGTACCCTGGATGGCAGTCTGCACTTCGTTTATCCTGATCTGTGGAACCATCGATGCAGGATCCCTGTGTTAGGTTTATAAAGTGCATGGTTATCTTTGTTTTTTCTTAATCAAACAGTAAAACTTCAGATAAATTAAATTTTGACAGATTTAAATTAAATAAGGTTTTCTTCTTATTTATACCGGGTGCTGGGTCAACAGACCATATTCGTATTTTCGGTATTGAAATAGAACAAGCTCGCAACTGGGGCTAATGCAGGGAGTCTTTCCAATTGCAAATGAGAATAATTCCGCCCCATGAGCCTCCATTGCAAGCTAGTGCCAGTCCAATATCGAGAATACAAATATGGCCTATTATCAAATGCAAACAAAAACAATTTACATATTTAATCTTATAACACATCTTTTTATTAAGCTGTTGTTTAACCTGAGTTCTGAGGCGAAATAGTACACCAACAACTATAGTCATTATCTCTAGGGGATTATATACATTTAGTATTTATTCTCTGTTTTTGGCATTCAATTCATTGTGTGTGATTCTAGCTGGCTGGAGAATTGCAATGATCGATGTTATTTTCTTAAGCCCTCCAATTAAAGCCCAATCTTCGTTATGGATTGAATATGATAAAACCTTTATCATAGAACAAACAGCAATCCGGTTGATTTCACTTTCTAAATGACTGACCGGTCCAAGAACTGTGAAGTAAAATCACAACATGCAGGAAACGGTAAAAACCATAAAAGATTGCCGAAAAAAATCCTCCCGTAATCCGCATTAATAACCCTAAAAAAAATAACGTAAAATAAGCATAACAATGAATTTACTTTGACCTACTGGAAAATGAAACAAGAAGGTGGACCTAGCAAGAAGATCTTCCTTTTTTACGCTATCGCGAATTTTAGTACCCCGCCAAGGCGACTCAATTTTACACTAAGGAAAGATAAACGCACCAAACAATTTTTTAATCCACCAGGACTAGAGAGGTGAAACCTTTGCCAGGGAGAGAAAAATAACTAACATATAGCGGCACCGCGGGTATGAACAGAGTTACAGAAAAGTGTATTCTACATTAGTATTATTTTAAATCTATTCAGTATTCAAAATTTTCAAGAGAATTTATGACGATAATATAGAATGCAGCGTTCACCGGTAAAGAGTATTTAAAAATATAAGCTTTCGACAGCCGCCCTATTGTCTTCAACGGATAATAATTCTTCATTCGTCGAAGACAGTAGACTGGCTGTCGAAAGCTTATGTTTTTTTAAAGTTTTGCCAGAGAACGCTATGAGATTATTCTATACTATCATGACCAATCCTGGTAACGGATCCGCGATATTTTTAAGAATTTGTGACAGTATTAAATATTTGTATTCTTTTTATTTAATTTCGACCGAAATAACAGGTTGAAAAAAGTTTCAAGACTCGTTTATGACCTGGTGAGAAAAAGAAAACTATTTCGAAGGCAGGCACATAAACCACCCGTTTGTCCTTCCGCAGACATTTTCTTTAAATGATCATGAATTGAACCATTTAATGCCACTTGCCTCAACAGAGCCGTAGTATGTAGATCCTTGTTTCCGTTGAAAAGCATCTGGCGTCATCTGTCGTGTTTTGTTGTTTAGCTCGCAAATAACCTCTGACTTGTTGCCACTGGACTGAACGTTCAGCGACTTGCACTTGTGATTTTCGATGCATTTATGCAGACATGCAAACTCGTCGACAACAACAGCTTTACCCATGGCGTGGTCAACTAACGTATGGTCTGAAATCAAAAAGTAGACCGGCCGGCGTACGTTTTCTTCATGCAAACAAACAGAAAATACAAGCTGACAGCGGAAGCAGAAGAAAAGGAAGTTCCATGTGAAAATAATAGTTAGTAAGAAAATAAGAGACGTGTTAGTTTCTATTTGGTTTACTCACCCACATGACTTTCAAAAAGGCTTCCGCAAAAGTCTTTGTTAGCCATCGCAAATAAAACTGACAGAATGTTCACAACCACAACCCTGAACTGATTTAGCCACAGACTAGCCATATGTCATTAAATTAAAGATCAGCGAGTCAGTATCTGCTTGAATTTTAGCTTTTGAGAGCGCTGAAGTTAGCTGGAGCTGCTTGACTTGTTCCGTTTGACTGGTATTGTATTAATTGTATTGTAGCTGGTAATTTGTGCCTTGAAATTAAAATCGGCTTTCTTTTATCTTTGTGTCATTTTGAGTATCTGACATGAAAGAAGCAGCACCTTTTAAATTAATAAACGAGTCTAATTTTGTTAGATGTTCGATGCTACTAAAATTAAGATGCTTTCTCAATTTTGCTTGTCTTTCTTTCACGTTCACACTTTCACTCAAATTTAGACTAGTAAACTTGCATTGAGAAAGGTTGGTTGTTCGAGAACGATCCGTTTTCCCCTGCTGTGTCAAAACCATTTAATCATTTTATTGATTGATTGATTTTGTACGATGCTACTAAAGTCAATTTAGATTCTTTCGCGAATTTTTCGTGTTTCCTTTCATTACCATCTTTCACTTGTAAAGAGATTTCCTTACAAACTGACGAAGTTAGGCCAGAAATGTTTGTCGAACACTTTTGTTAATAATTAACATGAATCATCAAACATCTGCTCCCTGTGGACCCCGGCCCTCTGATTTTACGAGACAAAGTTAAGCTCAAAATCATCACACAGTTTTCAGGATGCAATACACATACTCTGTACTACCGTATGTAGCCTTTAAAGTTATTTCTAAGAATTTAATAGCACATCAAGACATTTAACCGGTCTAACCGGTAGACTGCATTGAGAAAGGTTGACAGTTCGCGAACGAGCAGTTTTTTCCTGCTGTGCTAAAACCTTGTTAACCCTTTTGTGCCAAAAACTAATTTTGACTTATGAGGAATGAAAGGCGAGTGTCCGTGAGAGGTTCAGATACGTTTAGATTATTTCACATCGTTACTAGTCGCCATTTCACTTTTATTTTTCACTTTTAAGGAGAACGATTTTGTTTAAACAGTTTTTTTTTTTTCAAAGGTTCGCATCATAATTAACAGGCCGACAAAAACATCTGCTGACCATGGCTGATTTAATTTCGAGTGGAGGCTCGAAGCCACCGCTTCGGGTTGTCTTTTAATATAAACTCCGGGGTACAAACCCTTTAATCTTCTGGGAAAGTTGAAAGTGCCTTGAAACGATTTTCTGCTTTTGCCTGTTTTGTTTCATGGACCTGGATAAAACGTTTTCTTTTTTTAAATGAACACTGTGAGAAAAAGAGTGGAAAACTTACTCGTTTATTTCCCATTATCATAATGTGGATTTTCTCTGCTTGTGCTATCAATATGCCTGTAGCTTTTGTTAGTTATATGTTCCTGTTGAGTTTCAGTAGAATTTTGCTTGTGCACTTATGCAAATACTCCAATCTGATTAGCTAAGCTATCGTACAACACCAGCCATTAGTAAAATTCCTCTAGTATACTAATGCAAGACACTATGAGACGCAAAGTATTGTAACAAATAACGTCTTATTAGTGTTCCGTTTACAGTTGATACAATGTCCCATTGATGAATTCTAAATTCCCAGGATTGTATGAAGTGGTTTAACGCACATAAATCTTCCAGAAGTCTCCAGGAGAGACAACAGTTCCACGATCATCACATTCCATTCTGTCGTCTTCAAAGGCTGGATTAGGGGCCCAATGATAATCGAACGCGATAAATGCTGCATATTCATACAACTCATGCCATCCTTTATGTCCCCATTTACCAATGTGATAGCCACCGTCTTTTCCCCAGTTGGAACAATTCCTGGCGAGGACCGAGTTGTCTCCAGGAAGTCGTGCAAATGATCCACACGCGGAGGGCATGGCATCTGTCTGACGGCTGAAGTACTTGACTACAGCTTCACCAGCATTGTTAGCGAGCGTAGACACGTGGAACGTACGTCCAAGTTGTTTTCTGCAGTGGAATCTCAGCTGCGCGAAAGACAAATGAGATCTTAGCTCATTTAAGGCGCTAGTCGCTAGAACCATGTTACTGTTGTTATAGTGGCTGATACCGCGGTATGATGGCTCGATACCCAAGGAGGTGGGAGGAGATGAGTTGCCATCAATCACGATGTTGAAGATCAGAAGCCAGCCTCCTGAAATAACCAGTATTAGTAGAATTCTACTAGTATACTAATGCAAATGCTGTAATCTGATTGGCTGAGCCATTGAACACTATCAGCCATTAGTGTGCAGTGGCTGGGGGTCGTCAAGGAAATGACGACGTTTTTTCGTTTTTCCGAAGTTTTGGAGGAAAATTTCGATGCAAATGCATAATTAAATTCTCGAGAAGTCTAAACGAAGGACATTTACGGTTTCTTGCGCGGGCACACAACTTCAATTTTAAATGCCAAGTCAATCCGAGCGATCTTTTTCAGGCGCAAGAAAATTGGAAACCGTTATTTGAAGTAAATTTTAGTAAGAATTCTACTAAAACAATTAGATTATTCGCTCTCGATTTCCATGAGGTGATAGTTGATTCGGCCTTCGGCCTCATCAACTATCACCTCCTAGAAATCTCGAGCTCATAATCTAATTGTTAATTAGGCGACGTTCAATTTTGCCATGAGTTAAAAACGAAACACAAACTTGTTAATAAGAACAGTTTCTGTTCTTCAAGGTTCAAAGTAAACTAAACACAACGATAAGGACGGCTGCGTGGGGACATATGGATCATGTAAATGTTGTAGGGGTGTTCGCCGTACAGTGCTACTATGATCAAATTTTACCCCTTATTAGCTTGAATTTTTAGGAGTATCACATAGAATTCCACGAAGAATCAAAAATGCCGTTTACCTGTTTCTGTTTTTATGACAGTCAACATTTGATGGTTATCTATTTGAATTTTAATGAATGCACAGTTCTTCACAAGAATAGATAATTTTAACAAAAGGAAAAACACTATTACCAATGGATAGCCAAAAGCTATCCATTGGCGATAGTATTTTTCCTTTTGTTATCGAAACAATTGTTTTTTCGTTTAAATTATGTATAAATAGTTTATTCTGTTATTCATTCACTTTATGCCAATGTAACCGTCGGAGATTGATTCAAAGTTTTTCAACGTTGCAAAATCATTAGTTTCTAAATGTCTGCATTAGTTCCGGAGATATTTAAGGTTTTATTTAAATGAGTGGACTGATGACACACCTACGGCTATGAAAAAAAATCTATTTCCACGGTAACTCACTCTTTGCCAGTCCTCGCCAGTCTGATTTCAATATTTTAGATATTTTCGGCACTAAAATCATTAAACAAGGCCACAAATTCGACCTAACAGATTTATTTGCTTGTTGGATCATGCAGAAGAGGCACCACTAGCAAATATCAAAATCGAACGCCAAAGATAGGGGAGGTCTGAAACAAAACTGTTAAGCTCATATCGTAGAGCACAATTGCTTTGCGAAATTATATAACTGAGTTGGTATAACTGATGAAAGCTTTGGAGAGCTGACTAAACACAGCTGTTTTGCGAAGCCACACCCACTGTCAAGACTAATTAAAAATCACTAGAGCCCCCGTTATAAGCAATAATCATTTCACTTGCCTCCGTCTGTTGTCATGTCACAGTACACTAATAAAGGGTTTCCATTCTTCTCAGGGTCGATCCAGTACTCCCCGTCACCTGTGGATTCTCCAGCATCCAGGATACTCTTGCAAGAATGGAAATAGTGATGCAAATACCAATCTCGTTTAGCTGCAATGGAAAATCGTTTTCCCCATTAGAAGCGTAATTTTAATGACCTTATTTTTAATTTTTTTTTTTTAATTGTCTTTTAATGTACATGTAAAGAAGTATAAAAATAAAATGGGATATATGCAAGGTTGAGACCGGCGAATTACAGACCGTCCGTTTGACAATGCCAAACGTATATAGCAAGACGGAGGACTTCAATGTTGCAAAATACTGATAGAAATGTTGTTGTGGTCGTAGTTGGTGGCAAGTTGAAGTCGTCGTAAGGAAAGGACTACTATAATATTGAGGAAGTACAAATGGCGGAACGCCCTGAGTGATAATCCAAAAACTCCTGCGCAGCAAAACGAAGAAAACGTTCAAATCGAGCCTTGAAAAGGAAACTTGGACTCTCGGATCGACCTTCGAAAAAGAAAATTTGTCGAACAAGTCTTGCTAAGAATTAGCAATTGCCCAAGCTTCCTACTCCCTCCCCTTCTCACTCTCGAAGATATAATCGCGTTTTATGACGATTCCTTAACTTAATAGCACTAACTCAGTAGCACTCACGCGTCTGGCATCGTTCTCCTTCGTATTTTGGGTGGCACTGACCGGAATTTTGTAGCTTCTTCTGCTCACTGGAGTCATCGATGCAGGACACCTGTATCGGGTTAAGACAAGATTATCGTCTTTTAGTGAAGAACATGAATCAAAAAAATTAAAACATGATCTAAGCTACTCGGAGAGGTCATATACTTCATTTGGATTAGTTCTCAGGTATTTAAACCAAGTTTATGATTTTGAACTGCTTTAGTTTGTTCCGTGTTCATTTACGATCGGAATGGGAAGGAAATATATATAATATATTGTTTAGTTCATGGTTTTCTTCTTTGACGGGCCGTGAAACTAGTTTTTAAAAAATAGGAAAAGTGTTTCTGGAAATTACATTTCTAAGACAAAAGCTTTTGGCCTTTTATTCATAATTCCAAGAGGGAGTGTTATCCTCAGCCCATTTTTTCAGTTGACTTAACATCGAGCTCAACAATTAATTTTTGAAACAGACCAAAAATGTAAAGTTTTTCTCATAATTGCTTGAAAACGAATTCAAGCCACGCATTCAACTTGCCTCAACAGAACCGTAGTACGTAGAACCTTTCTGCCATTTAAAATCATCTGGTTTCATCTGTCGGGTTTTGTTGTTTAACTCACAAAGACGGATTGAATTATTGCCACCAGAACGAACATTAAACGACTTGCAACTGTTATTTGCGACGCATTTTAGCTGACAGTCAAACTCATCATTAACAACAGCCTTATCCATGACATGACCAAGTAAGGCATGATCTGAATGAAAAAGCACACATGAAGTTATTCTCATTGGAAACAAACAGAAGAAATTCCAGACAGAAGAAATTCCAAGTTTGCATGCTATAGCTTTTTCAATGAAAACAGTTCACATAATCAGAAGTTATGATACCTACCAACTTGAGTTTCAAAAACGCTTCCACAATAGTCTCTGTTTGCCAACACAAACACGATTACCAGGAGAATGTTCAAAGTCACTAGTGTCAACTGAACTAGCCAAACCCCAGCCATCAATAATTTCAAGATATTTTCACCGAGTAACCCTTACGCGTGCAAGTTGGAGATCTTTGAGTCTTAGTTAGGTATGAAACATAGCAGCCATCGAGCAGTTTGAGTTTTTGTATACAACGGAGCGAGTTTAATTTCTTTTTGTGACAAGTTTATTTATAATTCATATGCATAGCAACACCACATGTGGTACCTCGGCTTTCTTTTACCAGCTCTTTATTTTGAGTTTTTCCCATTAAAAACCCCTTAGCTGCTAAATTATTTAACAGTTAATTTTTTTTCAGCAAAACACAAACAGTCACGCAAAAATTTGTTTATCAGAATATGGGGAATGATGGAGCACTAAATTCTCAAGAAAGCGTATATGCACGATGTCGAAATTACATACAAACTGGTTGTTTCATCAGTATGATACTTGGATGAATCTTACTTTACGTTAGGCTTTCATCTAAACCTCGAGAACGACTATTACAAACTCAGCTCTGTTTTGTACCACTGGCATCACAGTCACAACTAACTTTAATTTACAGGCAGGTGCAGTAATAAATTCAACATTTTTAACCCTTTCTACGCGTTACTCCTTTGCTAGATATTATCATAACATTTATTGCTTCCTTTTTTCAAAATAATTACATGATGCAGTGTAGATTCTACGTGCAGTTGGATTCAAAAAGCAATTTCTTATCGGAATTTATAAAATAACTAAGATACAACGCGCACTCTGATTGATCAAGCAATATATCGCGACCAACTTCTGGTCCCAATTTTCCTTGTAAATTTCCATGTATATGCTGAATGAAAAGATTTTCGTGTTATTGATATCTCAGCTGGTGAACGCGGAAACTGTTTATTTTGTTCTTGCTAGTGATCTGAGTACTTCAGTTCTCGCGTAGTTCTGTCATATCGGGAGCCAACTCTATTGACCAATCAGAGCGAGCGTATTATCTCAGTTATTTTATAAATATGATGATGGGCCACTCTTTGCCATATGATCTTACTATAATAGGATTACCGGTACACAAATTCCCAGTCATGAGCTGACGTTGTAATCATCCCTTTATATAAATAACAGGTTGCCAAAGCAACAATACAAACTATTATTATCAATACGCGCGGCCAAATGACACACTGCCCTAACGCGCCATTTTGCGGGCCAAACGGGAAATGCGCGGGCTGAATATGCATTTGCCGCCCTGATTCTGATTGGCTGCAGAGATGTCAAATAACTTCGCTCGGCCAATGAGATCCTGAGGATACCATTTTTAAAACACACGAATGCGAATTGAATTATTGCCACCAGAACGGACATTAACTGACTTGCAACTGTTATTTGCGACGCATTTTAGCTGAAACTCAACTCGTCATCAACAACAGCCTTCCCTATTAAGTAACCAAGTAAGGTATGATCTGAAAGAAAAAGTAAAGGAAGTTTTCTCGAACAAAATAAACAGAATTCCAGTAAGACTGAAGAAATTCCAAATTTTCATGTCTTTTGTGCAGTTTTTTCTCGTGCAAGCAGCTGACTACAAGGTAGAAAAGAGAAATTGTTAGATCACATTTGTTCTGGACTATGCGTTTCAAAAACGCTTCCGCAGAATTCTATGCTTGCCATCACAGATTAAACTAACAGAAATCTCGGAATCATTGTGGCTAACTCAGTCAGCCACAAGCTATGGCTAACCATAGAGAGATATTTTTCAGTGAGTTGCTTACTTTAATTCTACCATTAAATAGTAATTAACTCGTTTCGAGTCTCATTTAGATATGACATTAAGTCATAGTGTGTGGATTTTACAGGGTCAAGTAAATTCATTATTCATGGCAACAGAATATAAACAAAACAACAACAAAACAAAGCATTAAGTCTTTTTGTCGACAACACATTT